CATCAGTCTCCTTTCTCAGTGATCGAACGACAAGCACTTACAGCAACATGAATCTTCTTTTGGATCCCTTTTATCAAAAATTTGACGGTGAACAACAGTCAAACTATAGTGGACTCTTTGTTCGGGAATGATGTCTAAAATGGTATGATATGATATATTTGTATGTGTACACAAGTTAGCTTTATATAGTGGTGACAGTTGTGGTATACAGTTTTGTGGCTTGCTTTCTCGGACAGAGGATTTTCTGCATCTGTTCTGGTACATAGCACTCTTTATACCCTCTTTTCTAAACCTCGAGTTTGCATGAGCGTGACAATTGCTTGCTAAGGAGTAAAGTTCTTTCATGCCAATACAGTTAAAGTATCCACAGAATCTTTGATTGCTGTTTACAGCATCGCAACTAAGAATCATGTCAGAAGACTCGCACTTATGCGCGCAATCACCCAATCAACTGTGAACACATCCCCATAGCTTTGTTGTGTACGGTATCGACTGTTAAAGCATCCACAGATCTGCTATTGGCAGATTTTGCCAGGGACCCCCGTGATTTGAGCACCATTTTGATGCCTCTAAGAAACTTACCAATTCAAAAGTTGAAAAGGAAAGCAGCGTTGTTATCCATATAAGGATGATAATATAGCAAAGTAAGCTGTGCACCAATGTTTGCTGTCACAATGTAAAAAAGTCTTTCCTTAAGTACAGTCGAGTAGATTTTCCGCTCAATATAGTGTGCTTGCACTGTAGGTGAAATGCGGTAGAATTTGTCCGTAAAAAATTAGCCACGCCAATAATGCCGGCATTCTGCTCGCGCAAATGGAAGGCGTCACAGGCGTAGCTACTTCTTCACGCGCAAATTTCATCGCATTGCACCTACAGCGCAAGCACACTATATTAAGCGGATTCTACTCGATTGTACATGTTTTTCTTGTTCTAGCCAAGTTGGGTAGGTCTTATTGTTAGTTGTATCATTTAGGCCTAAACACACTTCCCGCGACTCCATCCAATCTTGACATTTGCCGAATAGCTAGATCGCTAGATCGACCTGCACGGATGATAAATGCATAAGCATGTAGCTGAATTTGTAGCAAAATCCTGAAGTTTTGCCCAAGAAAAGCGCTCTTACGACCAACTGTAAAGGATCATTGCAGTGCCAGATCGCGCACCTACTGGAATCGCGTGAGATATGCCTTAAGGCTTACGTTTTCCTACGCCTTCGCCTTGTAAGACGTGGTATTCGCATTTTTCCCTGTGGCTTCAGTTCTTCAAATCTCTCCTCCATCACAGTTTCAACCAAGTGCTTTCGCATAACTGACAACATTATTCTCAACTAATCTTTGTTGGAATCTCCTGATTAAAGCTGCTTAGAGTTCCGACGGTAAGCTACCCAAGCCAGCTTATTTAGCTAATACACTACCGTTTGAAGCTCACTTGTCAAACCTTTCTCTTGCTGTTCACCATCTCCTTTAGTGAAGGAATAGGCACTAGTAAGTACTAATAAGTTATCCGCATCAGCAAGTTGCTCATGTTCATGTCTTCCAAATGGCAAAGTCCATTTCTTTTATCAAACATTTTCTTGTAGCTAACAATAAGACAGTTATACTTTCGTGTAGTCACCAATTTGTGTGAACAGATCACGCAAAATACAATGTTCATCGTAAAGCCGATTTCAGATAGCCATTTTTTGATGATACATATCACTTGGGATGATGCTTACCAAATTTAGTTTCTTTGTTCAACTGTGCGCGCTTAACCCTTTCAGACCTGAGTTTTCGCGAGTGAGCAAAGAAACTCTCTCCTATCATTTTTTACTTACTACCATACGAATAACATCATAGCGGAGCTTGGTGTTTTTTTTAACCTTGTAAAATATTTCTTTTTGATTAATTTTTTGGTTTTGCGTTTATTTTTGATTTTCAACTCTTCCTCAATACATATAGACCCACGAACAGTTAGCAACTACATTTGCCACATTGTACTCAAACTTTCTGATAATATTATGCGTATTTTTGGCTTACAAACGAGATTACTGGATAGTGTGACGCCGGTGCAAGTTATTGATTGGTTGCAATTCACTTGTATACGAAATTTTTGTATTGCTGACAGGATGACAGATGAGCACAAGGTTTCAAAGCTACATTTGGAAGGCAAAGGCTATATGAATGGATCTTTTGCAGTGGTGCAGTGGATAGTAAAAATATGATCTTGCGCCAGTACAGCAGGTCTCTGACTTGATGGTGGCAACTGCCACCACCTGGTCCAAAGTGTCCATGCACCGTTTCGCGACACCCACTTCGTCTGACAATGAGACGAAACAGAGTCAAAGCTTCTAAGTTTTTACGGATTATGTTGTGAGCATTCGCCACAGCAGATTCTCCCTTTATGCACAACTGCACGATATTCCGCTACTCGCTATTCGCTTAGGTCAGGAGAGACAAAATTAAATAGCCAGAGAATAGCGTGAACCTAATATTTTGCAAACAATAGTCTATTTGTATCTGCTGAGAGTTTCTGTTCATGTTCTGTTTTGAAACCTTTTCTGAATATACAGAAGAGGGATATAAAAACTGTGAAGTTTCTCAAAAGCAGATGGGGTTAGCTTGAAGTTCTGAGCAATCAGATATGTAACAAGGGGAGTGCCTAGTGGTATGGATTGTTTTAATGCTATGACTTGAAGACAAGGGAGATGTAACAGCATTTATCCTAACCTTATTTTACGCGTACATGCCGCTGGGGATTTTCTCTCAAAATCGACAGCCCAAACACGCCAAAGGACTTTCCAGTCAAAGAGTCCTATACCTTGTTGTAGTTGCTTGAGAGATTTGTGCGGACAAGAATCGTTTTCCGAAATACAATGAAGCCTCTGAGCGGCTTGCTTGAAATCGAAAAAGTTGCGCCTTGTACGCGTGAAATTACGGTAATTACAGAACAATAAAACGACTCAAAGGTTAACAATGAAAACGAACTACAAACGATAGCGTGATACTGGGTAAAGCTCCCGATCTAACCCTCCAGCAGTCTTTACACGCGCTAGTCTCGAGTGTCTTCGATCAGGACTGTAATGGGGATTCTGATTCTCTCTTGTCAACTATTCTAAACTAACTGCGAGTCTCTCTGCTTGCGCCTGGTTCACCTCCTTTCACACCTAAGAGATCGAATCGCTTTCTTTTTAAGCCATCTTCATCTCATGATCTATGGTTGAATCTGCAACAAAAATCAGTTGCCTCTTGTTGTTGCTTCCTACATCTCTTCGTAATGAACTTGTTATTAACATTACTATTATTTATTTATTATTATTTATTATTAGTTACTCGTTATGATTCAAACTTATGTAACGCACTCCGAGCATTTTGTCCAGTTATTTAGAAGTGAATAATCCGCACTTTGTTTCCTCACCTTTGGATGAAGTCAAGTGTATTCTTTAGAAATGTGTTTACCGGTGGCAGTAGTGTGACTCTCATGAATTTCCCCAAATACACAAGTAAGTAAAAAGCAGCAAGTGCCAGCAAGTTGCATAGACGATGCATCCGCAAAGCGCGTTTGGTCTTGCAAAGTAAAACTCATGATCAACTTTGGTATATACTCAGAACTAGATTCCTGTCGTCTCTGCGCTTTTTTTAAGAGGATCTTTGAAGTTGTTTCTTCATTATAAATTATGGAGCTTCCTTCCCTTATCGAACAGTTCAGTTGCCATTGATAGATTTTATATTGTGCCCTCTCAATGCTGACATTCCAGGTCGCAAAAAATTTATCCTAACACTTGTTTATCACCTTCGTCCCATCCCCGCTTTTATTTTCCCGTTCCGTTTCACCTCTATCATGCGAACCTCGCACTTCGACTTCCAATATTTTCTACTACTCAACAGCTCGTACAAAATAAATGTGTTAATCCTACTGGATCCTCATACTAAGCAAGCTTTTACAAAATGTTCACTTAGGAACGTTCGAGGAGAATTGAACCTAGCTTTCAGTAGTGCGCTCTCACAGAAGGCCGTATTCAATAGCTACTACGACAAACCTTGCTTCATTACAGTTTGAAGGGGGACTTGCATCAAGGGCTACGACACGAGCCTTGTCCTATAGATCAATAAGTAGGCTTTTTACGGCTTAATTTGTTTTAGAATTTGTGTCCTCTTGTCTCTTCGTTCCTTTATTGAGAGTATACAAAGGTATCTCTTTTGTGATGCTACGAGTACATCCTTTGTCGCCGTCGATTAGATTGTTCTGGTTTGAAAATTGTGTGACTTTTACATTGTATTATGGTCCTGTCATTAGCTTCCATTCGAAAAGGTTGTGCTCTGCCAGCTTTGGATCGTGCGCTTGATTCTCTATTTTCTACATGTCTGTTTTCATTGAGTGTACTTGATTTCTCACGCTTCCATATCGTACAAACTTCACAACCATCTCAGTAATTTACCCATTTGATCTCATTCAGTTGTGTCACTGTTTACCCTCATAATTGCCATTATTTATTCATTCACTCAATGGTTGATACAAATCACACGTCACTGCTCCACTCACATATTCATCTCATTTATGTGCAATTCACTTGTGCTCACGTATAATCTCACTACTGCTGTACGCCCCACTTATCCCCTAATTGTATAATTTTTGTAAATGATAAAGGTTTGACCATCTAAGTTTGAGGTCGGCTTTTAGGCTTATATGGCGTCGCTAGTTATACAACAAACGGCGAGCAACCGTTCGTCTCATTCAGGTCAACCAAGAAAGACGAAAACTACGTTTTTATATTGTCGAAATTACTCTATGAGCTCAATTTTCCAGCTGCGATGTGCTTTGAATTTCAAGGAAATGGAATTTTCCAGATGCTCATTATGAGACAATAGTGGGGGAAAATGATGGCTTGATGTGCCACATAAACCAATATGTAGCTTAGAATTGTATATCCTAGGAATAAGACTTGTGAACAAGTATACCCATGCACCTCAGCTGTCATGTGAAAATTTCGATCAGAGACTTCAAAAAAGAGTCAGAGACTTTTGCGCAACACTTTATTTTCATATGCTTAATAACTTATCTAACTTCTCTATCAAGGAACCGTAAAATTCAATTTTTTCCTTATCCACGAGCTCATCTGTGTAGCTGAACAAAGTTTTTCTTCTCTTCTTTATCGCTTCCATCCCCTTATTGTAATCCATCAATCGCTCGCTCAGTGTGCTACTCGAAACATCACCAAAATTCTCTGGATTTTGAGCATCGATATCGTCGAATTTTTCTCCCTGAAACGTAGATGTGAAAAGTAAAATTTGACGTTATAGATTTTGGTATCTTACAAGTAGAGCCAGCCCATGGTTTCTTGTGTATACCCCTCTCGGAACAGCAGGTAGAGCAGCTAATCTATCGCAGTATTCACTGAATTCAGCTGAAGTTAACTCAAATCCGTGACGATGAGGGCTGACAAGAAGTTGTGATAAAAAGTACGATCAAGGCCAAATTCATTCTTACACCGACCACTCCACGGCTCCACCCGCATCCGCTGTCCTGGCACTGTTAGGAAGATACTGCACTAACTCCATTTTGCTGCTAGCTAACTGTAATCGACTAAACTCAAAGCTGAAGTTGTATCTGAAATTACTGCTTCAGTCACAATAACGCAATGATGATTGATGGAAGAACTAGTCCTCGTCCGTGATTATACATAAAATAATACGCATTCAAACCTATCGATAGCGCTTATGCCTGTACTTCCAAATAGGGAACTTCGTCTACAAGACAGCTCGTCCGTTGCTTTCAAGATTCGTCCATCCATTGGTCTCTGCGATAATAAATCAAATATTCCATTTCACTACGAGAGATTGCTAACCCACCAATTTCTCGAACTCTTCGTTCAGTATGGCTGTATGTTGACCACTATGACTTTCGAGAAGACATATTGACATGAAAGAAGAGTTGTACGAGATTTCAGCAAATAATTCCCAAGTTCTTCTTACCTCCTGTCCATGGAAATCACAACATGGAGGTTATTAGAGCACATAGTATCGATGATACTATGCACGTCTGCTATATCCATCCCCATCACTACTATGACGTCATCATTCTGAAGAAATCTATTCAGTTGCGTAAGGAATGGAACTATAGAAACCCTACCGTTCGACTGAACAGGCCAGTGCATTGAGTTGGCAAACGATGATATTTACGGAATGCGGCTGCTGTAACGACACTTTTTGGCGATTTAAGCGATAACAATCAATAACTTACGTGGTCCTTCATGAGCTAGAACTCGTACGATGGAATTGCGGAAACGCGGTGTATCGTTGTTAGATTCACAAACAACCTTGGAAACAAATCCGTTCTCACAAAGTACAAGACACCGTAGCGGACTAGCTGCAAGGAGAAGACCATCAGCTGGCTTTCATTAGCGAAAAGAATTACTTACGAAATTTGGCCAGAATCTTTTTGATCCTATGAAATTTGGGATGTGAATTGAGTGAAAGGCTGTTGAAAGAAATGTTGAAAATCGAATCTGAAAAAAACGTTGGAGCTCACGTATGCAGAATTCTATACCTGCGTTTCATAACTATAAGACACTCAGATTTCCGAGTTTCTATTGGGAATGGCAACCAGTCAGTATCAATGTGATTCACATACTTTTCAAATAAAATGTTGCGATCAATACTTCGATCCGCTTGTTATACAACATATATAAGCATGTCTATCTTTCCTCTGTTTCAAACTGTAAGACACCCTTAAACATAATGCTTTTATCGGAAAAAAGAAACCCCAAAAACAAGGTTTTTTTGACTGGTCGGGCCACGGGACCTTTTTATCACTTCATCAAACTTATTGGACATGCTTCTAACAGATCATCGCCCTCTCCGGATCAGTGTTGTTCCATGCGTTCTGTAACTTATTCGACTCTTCCAAGGCTTCATACTGCGTTTGTCCGCATACAAATGCTATGACAATATTTTCCAAGATTTTTTGTAAGAATTATGGCAGGACGGTACGGTGAACATTCTAAAAGGTGCACGCGATGCTCGCGAAGAAAGGCGGTGGTTGACTGTGCGCTTGTGCAAATGCGCTCCACTGCTGCAAGACGTACTGCACTCTCTTGCACATGTCTCTTGCGCAAAAAGAACAACACTCGATGTTCCAGTACTTCTTGTCAATCTGCGCCTTAATATCCCAACTGAAAATCAACTTACTGACTCCCGTCTAACGCCACCATACTATGACGAACCTCTGCTTGCGTTTCTTTTGTCAAAAATGATGGGAAATGTCTTAGCGGTGATTTTGATGAAAAAAAATTCAGTATGGACGGCTGGACGGCTAGAAGACTCACTAGCCCAGTTTGAGACAAATTTTACATTATCTTCGCAGAACATTCTTCACCGAAGGTTCTCCTAAGGCCTAAGGCATGCCTCACGCGATTCGGCCAAATTGCCACTTTCACACGACTTTGCAATTTGCCAGATTTCCACAAGTTTATCGTGCGCGCTTCTCGAAAGCATAGACGGGTAGCTTGTGTAAGTTGTTGCAAATGGGTCAAGTTCTGACCGAAGGAAACACATTAACGACGAATTATGAGAGTCGCCGTTGTGCCAAATCGCGCAGCGACCGGAATCGCGCGAGGTATGCCTTAGGCCTAAAGGATGGGGACAGTTGATGCGGATTAGCTTGCTTCAGTAAGAATGATAGAGCTAGACAGACGAGAAGTACTAGAAAACCGCCTGCTGCCCACCTTTCACAAGTGCAGGAGATAGCATTACGTCTTGCAACAGTAGAACGCATTTGCACGAGCACACAGCTCAATCACCGCTGTTCTTCGCTTGCACCTTTTGCAATGCTCACCGTACTGCCCTGCCCCAAATCCTATAGATAATCTTGTAAAATATTGCCATAGCGTTTTCATGCAGACACAGGCAGCATGAACCCTTGAAAGAGTCGAGTAAATCCGCTACAGATGCATGGAACAACAATGATCCGGAGCTGGGCGATAATTGTTAGAAGCATGCCCAATAGGCTTGATGAAGTGATAAAAAGGCAGTGGCCCGATCAGTCAAACCTTGTTTTTGGGGTTTCTTTTTCCCAATAAAAGCATTGTGCTTGAGTGTGTCTTATAGTTGTGAAATAGAAGAAAGGTAGACATGCTCATACGTGTTGAATAACAAGTGGATCGAAATACTGAGTGCGATGTATTTAAAATCATGTGTACATCATAGGGGTACAGACTGGAGTGCACCATCTCCATTAGAAATCCGGAAATCCCATATTTTTGAGGGTGCCGTATAAGAATGAAAGGATAGCAATGAAACAACCTGCACTATCATCATTTTTCAACTATCAGGCGATATTGTGAGACATTAGTAGAAAAGAGTTCATGAAGAGAAATCCAAAAAATAATCAATTGGTGACAAACAGCTCTTAGGGCCGCATGCGCCAACATCCCTGCTGGGAGAAGATCGCAGCTGAAAAGAAGGCTTCATCCTCTATCCTGAAACTCCAGATATCTAGATTTCACGCTGTCTATCCATCCGTAAATATTCCTACTACCCTTCACTATGAACAATTGGAGCGATTCAAACCTATAAAAGCCGCATTTACCAGCTTTTGTATGATCCCCTGATGATCCCCGGCGGCCGACCTCTTTTCGTTAAAGGCAGTGTCCGGGCAAAAAGTCGATTTTGAGATTTTGTGCTTACCTGGGCCTATTCGCCATGCTGACTTCGAAAAACCCCATTAGAAAGCGCGAAAACGGTAAAAAAGGGCTCTAACGCAGGAGGGAAATCAGAAGTGGGCGGGGTCTTCCCCACTGTGAATTTCGCGGTCCCAGCTTCTGGAACGACCTTCTCGCTTCCGGTTTTAAGTCAATCATTCGCACTTGACCGGTAGCGATGTTAGAACGGCTAGCGGAATCGAGAAAATCGCTCCGGGAGCTGGGAGCATGAAATCGCACTGGGGAAAGCCCCGCCCACCTGCTGATTTCCCTCCTGTGTTAGAGCCGTTTTTCGCCATTTTTGCGCTTTCCAATGTGGATTTTCGGATTCAGCATGGCGAATAGGCCCGTATAAGCACAAAATCCCAAAATCGAGTTTTTGCCCGGACACTGCCTTTAAAGTCATTTTTGTTCTTCGAAGTTGTATAGGCCTGCAGGATCGCGAGAGTCGGACGTGTGTACGGCTACTGCGCCGCGCACGCACCTACCTGAGTCGTCAGATGCTCATCCAACGACTCAGGTAGGTGCCAGACTTATCCTGTTCAACAAGTTCATTCGGTTCACCACCTTTTCTATTGGACAGTGTAGTGGTTTGACCTATGAACCGAACGAACAGGTTGAAGCAGGTAGATCTGGCACCTGCCTTAGTGACATCAGACGAAAGTCGGACGTGCGTGCGGCGCAATGGCCGTACGCACGTCCGACTCTCGCGATCCTGCAGGCCCCTATAACGAAATCCCTCCGCCGTACAGTCTGCCCCAATCCTAACCAGGCCAAAATTGGCATGGCGGGAGTCCGCGTCACTAGGGTTTCGCAGTCACGCCCACGGCCTGCTTCTCTGCTCTCTCTTCAGTCCTTTTGCTCTCTCCGACAGCGCGCATATGCAGCGCAGACCTCTAGCGCTGCGAGCGGGCAAATTTACGCCGACGGTTCGGCCTGATCCCGATTGAGGCAGACTGTACTGATTATTTGAAGGCAGTGGGTCGGCAGAATGAGACCCGTGGCAAAACAAGGTCACAGGGTAGGAGCCCCCATAATGGAACCTATGGGCCAAAGCTCGATCTTTCTCTGCCACTCCTAACCCCCGAAATTTCAAAGCGAAAGCAGCGCTCATCTCCTCTCCTCTCCGACCCCGCCCACCCCACGGACGAGTGAACGCGAAGTCCGTCATGGCGAAGACGCAGAGTCGTTGCGGGACCTCGTGCTTATAGCATTGCGGCTGCGCGCTCTGACCGTGGAAGTCACTCGTCCATGGGGTGGGCGGGTTCGGAGAGGACAGGAGATGAGCGCTGCTTTCGCTTTGAAATTTAGGCGGTTAGAAGTGGCAGAGAAAGACCGAACTTTGGCCCATAGGTTCCATTATGGGGGCTCCTACCCTGTGACCTTGTTTTGCCACGGGTCTCATTCTGCCGACCCACTGCCTTTAACTCAACGGTGCTAAGATGTTGCTGATAAGAAACAAATGAGTTCTTGAAAAATTGAGGTTTTTTGATGAACACTTTCGACTTGTGGTTCATCGCAAATTTCATGACTCCAAAACATCATTTATTCTTACCAGTAAATGATTAGCAGTTTGGGTTAGATAAACAGAAACTTTGGAATGCTCTTATTGACTAAAAAATGAGTTTGAAGAAAAGGCGGTCGGTAGCTGGGTCATCAGGGGATCATATAGAAAGCTGGAAAACGCGGCTTGTACGGCTTCTCGCTCTGTTCAATATGTTCATAATGAAGGATGGTAGGGATACTTACGGATAGGTAGACAGCGTGAAATCCAGAAATTCGGATTTTAGGATATGAAGCTTTTGTTGAGCTGCGATCCCTTCTTCGGCGAGGATGTCAATGCATGCGGCCCTCAGAACGGCATGAGGGGAGGGAAGATATTGGAAATTGAAGGCTTGGGAGTATGGCCGTCGCTAGTGGAAATGAAGGACTAAAGTTAGCTTTGAAAAATTCTTCATTATACTTAAGTGCTTCACCGTTTGGACTAGATTTTGTTCATTGATGTATTTTCGGTACACCAACAGGTGCGCCAGAAACGCGAATGGATAACGAAAAAAGTTGTGAACTTTTAGCCAGAGCAACCACAATCAGATAAAGCCGCATTTGCGCATCTATGAAGGACAACGAGTAAATCAACAAGAAAGGGATTAACCAGCTGGCAGTGTACCATGAGAGAGATCAAGAGCAAACATATGAGCTATTCGAACGCAGGTATACCGGCTAAGAGCACCGCAACCCAACATGCTGAGCAGCAACTTGCTCTCCTCCTGCGAGTACTATCAAAACCTTTTTCATTCTTTGCAACCCATTACTTGTTTGTTATCAACCTCGCACAGCCTCAAAGCACCGTCTACCCAGATTTTCGACTTCCATGTCTTTGTCGTTCCGAAGCCTTTCCCATGGTCCCGAATATGAAGTCGAGAATTCCCTTTTCGAACAACTCGCTGGTCGGTTCTCCAGAACGGTGATTTGATGGGCGCGCACGGATGGGCGGAGATTACTGGAGGGGGGAGGGAGGACGGGGTGCCAACATATGGTTCTCATGCCTCTTCGCTATTCCGAAGTGATTTTCTCGCTTATGAAGCGACATTTCGCGTCGCGACTTGGGCATTGGCTTGGTAAGGGTCCTACTATCCTAAGTTGCAAAAAGCTCAAGGCTCCTTTAGAGTGAACAGTGCCTTTGAATAAAGCTTATCTACTTAAAACTGCAGTTCCGAGTACGAATTTATGACACGACCATAGAGCTTACCCAACTGTCCGCCCAGTCTTGCACCCTCTCGGAGTGCACTAATAAAGGATATCTCGCTAAGTTTTTAACGGCATAACACCGAGAAATTCAGCGCTACTGTCCTTCACCATCAATCTCACTATTTTCCAGTTAGTGTGTCAATTACATGTTGGCCAAAACTCATACATGCTGGTGAATATGGAAACTTGAGTTAGAGAGCATACCAAAAAATCATTTGTATCGTTCTATCCGCATACGACGTTTTAGCAGATAAACAACAAAAATGACTGAGTTTCCCACCTGTATTATAAAGATACTTTGACTGTATCTCATGGTAGATCCTGGATAGCAATGCGTCCTCAAGAATCATAAGTTGTATAAGACCAGCACGTGAATCCTCTTCAGCTTTGCCAAATAAATCTGGTCATATGAAAACACCAGTATGTTGAAAATTAGAGGCAAACAAGAGTTTAAAGCTTACCAATGCAGTACAAAAGAAATACACGTGGACCATTGATTATCAGATTCCTTGCAGCTTCCACCAAAAACATGCAGTTTACGACAAGCTGGACCGTGTCATTTGGTAGGAAGTTCGCCTTCTACAAAATAAAAGGTTAGAAATGTTTACAAACATACCCAAAAATTCTGACCATAGCTATTTGTCCCCAGTCTAATGTGAAGAGTTGATCTGGCCTGGTGGATGGCAATGGAATCAAAGCATGAAGTTTTTCCAAATACGTCGCACTTCTCTAAAACGAGGAAATGAAGAAATCAACGACCTAGAGAAGGGATTATTTGCTTCTCCGCAAAAAAAATACTTCTCACGTAAAACTTATCTTTCGGGTTCAAGAAGGGAATAAGAACAAGCAAATTTTCGAATTTCAAAAAGCTATCCAGGAAGTGAAAAATAAGTTTGATTTTGATACAATTTTGAAACAAAGTATCAAAACGTCCACCAACTAACTTCTATCCATTTCTCGATGAATGATCGCGTCTCAGACAAAATCTCAACATTTTCACAATATTCGATTGATAGACCTAGCGGTATTGAATGATTTCTGAAACATAACTTCAAACATTTTTTGTAGAAGGGTGCCATCATTCTTCAACCTGAAAGAAGGATCCGATGCAGGAGGCTCGATCCATTGTGATATTAGCAACGATGTGATAAGCTGTTGTCTCTTTCTCAAAGGACCAATTTTTCTCGATGTTGATGGAACTGATGGGGTTACAAGGAGTACACGAAAAAGGATCTGGAAGACACATTCGAGAAGTAGCAAAAATTTATCGTCACGAAACTTACTCCTTTTACAGTCAGTGCTCCAACAATATTCTTGTATTTGGTAAAGCGGAGATTCTCGGACGCTTCTAGACAAAATACAACGCACCGAATATCCTCGACTACTGTAGAATCGGACTCGACAATTTTTTCGAAAGTCTAAAATGAGCAAATCTTGCTCGAATCTATTTTTATCCTTACTGTTACAACTTTTGACTAAAGTCACCTGGGGAGTAGTCACAATTACTCGTCCAATCTTGTGCGTCGGTAATTTTTTGAATGTTTGGAATGTATCTATTGTAGATATCTAAACAAACCAATATGACAATTTTGCTGATACTCAAATTATCTAGAACTACCTCTTCGGTTATGATGCCGACAGCAGCACCGCGTTCTCGGAAAACTTCAGCAGCTTCCAAGGAATTGCAGCAGTATATAGCACGACTTCTTGGGAACCACCTATGAAATCAGAAATGAATCATGAAAATTTCCTACACTGATTGTACATGGCAAATGTTATCTCTAATCATTCTTCCCTCTCCCGTCTTCCCTTTAACTTCGGACTGTACTATGAACTTACTAAAAAGGACCAGTAGAAATAAATGCCAGGACCTAATTTATTCATGCACGGACCAAATGGCAATTTCGCGTAAAACTGGCCATGCCTTTTTTCAATGGAATTCCCCACTTCCGTTCTTTCGAATACCCTACAAGGACGTCTTGCCAATGTAAACTGTGTTCCCACAGAAATTCAAAAATATCGCACTGCGAGAGTGCGAAATTCAGAAGCTTCACCTTACAGTGTAGCTACCGTAATACTACATTTGAACAAATAAGAGGAGGGACCAAATTTATAGGTAATCTCCATTTCGTTCCTATTGCTAGACGGAGTTTTCAATTTTCTCTCCGGGACTTCCACTCTGGCTTCCAAAAAATCGAGCATCTTTCAAAATACAAAGAATCTCTGATGGATCTATGAAAAAGTGCAATTTCTTATATGGGGAAATATACAGCAGACTAGGTACAGCGTCCGGTTGAGAAATAGGGATCGTTGAATAAATTACATTCATAATTCTGCCTTCCAGGAAAATCATAAGCAAACCTCAAAAAGTTCACAACCACAACTGCACAGATATGGTCAGCCGATACAGCTAATGGCAGTGAGATCGTAGAATTCACAGCAATGCACGATTTGACAATATCCATCTGTGAATATTATTGTGACATCGCAGCTTGCAAAGTCTACGCCCGCTCACCTCGTACTGGCGCAGGTACTCATTAGCAGGATATCGTAGTGACGAACCCTCAAGTGGATCGAATCCAGCTTTTTCCAGTTCAGCTTCACTAAAGCAAACTGGACTATAAACAATGGAGTAGAGAATTGCAGTTCTTGCTCAACAGCGCAGTAAGTACTTACCTAGCTGGACTGATGTGTCTCACTGGCATGGGTAGGTATTTCGGTGGAGGTACCGGAGTCGCCGGAGCAGAAGTCGTTGAATGACGAGCGAGAGGAGCCCATGATGGAAGATTTTCTTTTGCTGGATCAGGAGTAGCTAAAAAAGAATTCTTCTTAGATGTAAAAGGTGTATAAATGTATGAGATGTATATCTCATACTTACATCATTTTGAAAACCCTATAGAAGGCACAAGTTAGAGATCCAAAATGATGTTAGATATCAAGAACAATAGCGATCCCAGACCCTTGCGCAAAAGAAAGACGATTTACGAAGAGAGCGACGCTAAGCACAGCCTCCAAAAAAATTTACAAAATATTTTTAAAATTTTTGCGGGCTTAGAATATCGAAGTATCCAGCAAAACAGGAATGACAAATCCTGAAATTCAAAACTCAACCGAAAATAGAATCAAATAATTTTCGAAGCTGTCAGGCCTGCAAAGGCAACCCACTCAGGAAATTAATGGCCGATAAGAATGCAGTGCATAAAAAATAGAAGCAGAAAAAGCCAGAGCCCCCATCGGTGGGTATCTTGTGCCTTTTCCCTAGCAAAGTTAGCCAATTTTTCCCAGCCATTTCTTCCTCCCTTCAACCTCTCACATTTGTAATTTACTCCATTAGTTTTGCTATTGCTGCTAATTTTCAAGTGCGCTCTTGCCAATCTCTGGATACTTAACAGTTCTTACTAATATAACTTACCAGAAATAGCCACGGGAACCACATTCAAGTGTTCTAGAGGACTGTCTGATAGCGTAATCACCTCACCTGAAAAACTCGTTGATTAGCATATCCTAGACGTGCATGGAATAAAATTGATTTGTTTTCTCCAAAAAATCCAGAGATTTCTAAGAATAATTTTACCTGATTGGTTATAAGTGCCCACATATTATGCCCACATTGGATGTGACAAACGTTTTTCTCACATTAAGGGTAGCCACCCCTTTTGGAAAAAACATTGAGGTGTTCTGAGAAATTCTGGGCCCACAACCGCGAAATTTGACGAAATGGGCGTGGCGGGAGCCACTCTTACGACCCTCTCTCTGTCCGCTTTGCATATCTTGTGCATGGCACAACCCACTGCATAAAATAAGATGCCTATGGCCTTTGTTAACAAACAAATGCCATTCAATTGAATGAAAAATTTATTTCGTTTGCGACAGATGTTGTTATACTGGATGGCGAGCTAAACGAAATGTTGGATGGTTTCGGAGGAGGTCAACTTCGATTTCAGGTTGATTTCGATGCAGCAATCGCCTCCTGTATCGACAATGCACAACGAAAAGAATCTGAATTATGAAAATCGTGGAAATTTCTCCTATTATGGAACGACGCACCATAATCGTAGCAGCCATCGCAACTATGATAAAGGATAGAACAATAATTATTTTTTGCGATTCTTCAGATGTATGATCTCTCGAGCATTGGTTGTCTATGTACATTTGAAGACGTGTTGCATAATCTTTGGCATATTTCTCGTTAATCATTCTAATAGACATGCTGAAAAGCATCAATTAGGGTACTAGCGATTGAAACGCATATTAAAGATTATTACTTGTGTTCAGCGAAGTTTGGGACAATGGTCTGCTAATGAGGAGTAGATGATGGCATAGGCGAGATGAGATCTAGCAGGTGGCAGGCTAGCATGTATTCATCAGGCACATTCCTGCATTGTATAATATAATTTTGTTGCACTCATACACGAAGGTATAAAGATGAGCTCATGAAAGATGATACAACATACGATAGTGCGCATAATTAGTCAAAAACGTCACTGAACTCCACTGTATTCAGAATTCGCTTCGCATGGTCATCTCATGGTTCAGAGTGGACGAAACGGTCAAAGGAGCGGTTCGGCAGAATGACAAATTTGGGATATTCATCGTTCTCGGTTCCCCTGGATGAGCTAAGTCCAAGGCTGTGCTTTGCAGCTTCAAAAGATATCAATAACCCGCTTTTCCAGAAGTAAAAAGTGCTATTTGGGCGGACGGCGTATGCCTGTCCTCGAGCGCGATTGGCTTGTGGGTACGGTAGGTACGGTGTCTCCACTCACAAGCCAATCGCGCTCTGGAGAGCAGGATACGCGATCCGCCCAAATAGCACTTTTCACATCTGAAAAACCGGATTATTGATATCTTTTGAAGCTGCAAAGCACAGCCTTGGTTAGCTCGTCCAGGGGAATCGACAGCGACAAATATCCCAAAGTTGTCATTCTGCCGAGCCGCTGCCTTCAACTCGGTAAAATGCATTTTGTGATATGTACAAGTGCAAATGCACGGTAAGCGTTAGCTATCACAAATCTTTCTTGCTTACGGTATTTTACTCAGCGGGCTCATTCATCGAACACTGAGTAACCCAACGTAGGCAAAAACCTATGCACCTGACCGCCTACCGTATCCAAACCGGTACTTCTATATATAAGGAAATGCGTCTTGCCGAAAGTCGAACGGTGCCAGGGATTTAGAATTCGTCCACTCTGAACCAAAATATGGAGATACGACGAGATTCAGTAGACTCCGGTCGGTAATTTTTTCGACGAAATATGGGCGATGTTGTATTTGGGCATGAATTCCGCTGTCACCAGTGGTAGCAGTATTTACGGACTTTTAACGTAACCACTCTTTCCGTTGTAGCGGTGTTTTACTTTGACTGGATAATCGTGATGCTTGATTGCAGTCTCATCTTCCACTTGATTTAGCAGATAACAAAAGTGGTCACTAATCTTGGATAGCGCACTAGAAAACATCAGACTACAAAATCATTCAATCAGCCATTGAAAGCGGAAGAACGATCGCGACGACAAGAACATGCAATAAGAACGGCATCTGTGGTAACCGGTAGCAGTGGTAACAGCAGTAACAGAGAAACACCTAACAGAGGTAATATTAGGTTGGCTGATAAATGAGTTCGGTTTGCGGTTCTTACAAATGCTGCAGACAATTTTTGTCCAATGTTTGGTATCTCCGGAAAGAGCACTTCGGTGGGAATTGGAGCATATTAGGGGAAGCTTTAAGCTACGTTTCTACAAATTATAGATAGAAAACAACAAGAAAAATTGTTATGAAGATTTATATGCCAAAACGAACTTATATTTTAGCCATTCTAATAGATGGCGCGACTCATAAAGTTCATACCAGTGGCGAGGAGTGATGGGGGGGGGGGGGGAGAAAGTATTTTTCCCAAAGCGTAGTGTTAGCCATGCCCTTCGAAAAAATTTGGGAGCATTTCAAAATTTTCGTGAGCCTATGATTTGGAATTTTGAAGAAAAAGGGGCGCGGCTGTGACCGCGGCCAACTAGAATTAGAAAAAATTTCAGAAAAGATTCAGTGGCGTACCGAGGGGGCGGGGCGCGAGAATGAGAATGAGTCGCGAAATTTTTGAAAGTTACTTACATGAGTCTTAAAAATGTGCAAAAGGTTTAATTATACTCGTAAGTAATTAAAATAATTTTTTAAATTTTTTAAAAATCCAATTTAGCCCTACAAAAAAATTTTTTGGCTGACGCTACGCCCCCTTTTTTGAGATTTTGGGGTTGTGAGCCCGCGAAAATTTTGAGAAGCTGACGCCACGCACCTTCATCAGAAAAAAAATTTGTGTCCCCCCCCCTCCCCCGAGCCGAAATCCTGGGTACGCTACTGTTTTGATTATTTACAAGTAGATTATTTACAAGGGGGCAGAGATTGCACACTTGCATTTGCACACTTTTACACCTCAAGTATGCTACTTTCAAAATTTTCTGGCTCATCCTCAGGGGAGGGGGAATAGAAGACTCGGTCCGCCACTGGTTGATACCCGTGCATGAAGAAGAGCACATATTACTACAACCTAGTACAAGAATAAGGAGCGTATGTCTGACTTTTAAGAGATGAATTGATTTTGGTGGGACTCTCGATAGAAAATTTGTTATAGCAAAGTGAAGTATGATTGATTGGGAAAAGCATTTTATTCTCTGCACACGACATTTTCCGCTAACAGTGCTAATTTAGCGCCCCTCTGAGCTTTGAAAAAAAATGATGAGAAAGGCACTTTGAAATATTGCAATGAAAGTCACAGCGAGCTAAAAGGCTCGAATGAACAATGCGTACTAGAGTAACGGGACAATGGCTGTCAATTACGAGCAGTGAGATACGAAAATTTGACGAGTGACTTTGGCAGATATAGAACTTTTTCAAACTTGAATTGTGGTAATCAATATACACGCAGCCAAAACGCATAAATTTTTCAGATTAAACAAAAAAAAGTGCCGGCGCTTAACTGCCAAATACCTTTTTCTAAAAGGTTTTTTTTTCTCTGAATGTTCCCCAATTTTTGATCTCCGCCTCAGCAATTACCAGATAAGAGCACAAAAATCAGAGAATAATCTAAAATCCTCCGGAACCATGGAGGCTTCTTTGAAGCTTTGCCTGGAGCGAGGCTATAAGAACAATAGCGAGGTGCCGTGAATGAATAATTCTCGGACAACCTGGATGCTTACGCCACCAGACACTCATTATGTTCTTGAACTTCATAGCCATTCGTATTGGGTTGATGCACAACTCTTGCAGAAAAATGTAGAGAAAAAATGTAACAAAAATGCTCAAACAGACTAATCAATTCACAGAATATGCTTATTGTTATGTACATCATGTACATCATCTCTAACATGCAATTGATCTATATGTTCCTCTTACTTGCCGCTCCTCGCAACAAACTGAGATTCCTGATTACCTTAGAAACCTTGATTAAAGAAGAAAGCAAGCATGGGAAAGAGCAATGAGTGGCAATGATAACATGCATTACGAGGCTTTCAGAAAGCTCAATGAGAAGTTTAACAAAAGGTTTAAAAAATATTATTCGGCGCTTGAAACAAAGGTGATCAACTCGGGCAATAAAGCTTCCTTTTTTAGAATGCTTAAATTAAGACTTAAAAATAAAAGAGAAATTGGAGTTTTGCTTACTGAGAACGGTGAACCCATTTATGAGGATAGAGGAAAGGCGGACTATTTTGCAAGCCTATTTGAAAAAAGTTTTGTGGAGGAAAATATTTCGGATATGATAGAAACTTCTTCCGAATTCCAACAAATGAGCGAGGGTGTTTGGTTTCAAAGCGAAAAAATTTATCAACTTCTAGTCAGACGGCCTAAATCGTCTTCATTTACACCTGATTTCTTGCCACTTCAGTTTATCAAGTCCATAGCTCACATTATTTGTGGTTCTCTGCAATTTATATACAGTTTGAGTATGATGCGCAGTGAAGTCCCTTCTACTCAGATAATCGCCGGGGGCAGGCGGTCCGCAAACTCGCGCTTTTCTGCAAGCGGTCAGCAGGATTTTGGGGCGTGGCCAAACCTTCAGCGAGCGGTACTTCCTTTACTGCCCAATGTTCTGCCAGTGAGCAGCAACACAGAATTTTCTGCGAACGCTCGTCAAAAATCTCTTTCAGCAAACGCTGGCCGAACTTTCAGCAGACGCTCGGACTTTTTTTACGCAGTTTCGGGCATACCTCGAACACAGGTAAGACTCTGTATGGCAGAGGTGTCACCGTTAGTTTGATTACTCAAGTTTGAGGTACTTCTCAGTGGAAAGTACCTGGGGGCTAGGCGGTCCTCCACAAAGGAGCGTGCGGCCCTCGAAAATTTTTCATATTCTCGCGGAAATCCGAAAGTCCGCGAGAATGCGGCCACTGCGCCGCAGCTAATCTATAAGGAAACCGCGGTTGTTTTCCAAGCAGTCCTCTTAAATTTCGCTAAAATTCTTCCAAATATCTGCAAGCGTACCGTAAGAAGTCAGCGAACTATTTTTCCGGTGCCCGCCCGCCCATAAATCGCATGGCCGCTTGCCCCCGGCGATTATTTTAGTAGATGGAGGGTATTTTTTGTTACGCCAATTCCGAAAAAGAAGTCAATGACTTGCCCGAGCAATTTCAGACCAGTAAGTATAACTTCCATATTTTCGAGACTGTTTGAGAAAATTTTCAAAAAATGCATTGTCAAACACTTAACTGATAAAAAAGTTATTTGTCCCTCTCAGCATGGTTTTCAACAGGGATAATCCACTGTTACTGCGATGCTCCAATCAATGAATGACTGGACACTCCAGATGGATAAGTGTTGTAACACCGATGTTATTTACTTAGACTTCTCAAAAGCATTTGATAAGCTCCCGCATAGTAAACTAATAAATAAACTGAAAGCAGTCGGTGTCATCCACCTATAGTTGGATAAGTGCGTTCTTGGAGGGTAGATCTTTTGTAGTTCGTGTCGGCAAAGCTTTCTCTGAACCTAGAATGATGCGATGTGGTGTACCTCAAGGAGGGGTATTATCTCCCACTTTTTAACATTTATACCCATGAACTCCCTCGTATACCATTGTCGAAAAGTGTATCTTGTTCTGCTTTTGCTGATGATTTCAAGTTATATGGGGTTGTTATGGATGTTGCCGGTCGTGATCGACTGCAGAGTGCTCTTGACGAGATTTATTGCTGGTCGCAGATCTGGGGTCTTCCTATTTCAAAAGAAAAAACAAAAGAATGCACATTGGGGCAAGTAATCCTGAGTATCTTTATTCAATGGGGGAAACTTCACTTCATTCTGTTGAGGAGATAGAGATTTAGGGTTTCTGGTCAAGAATAATCTTTGTTTTGATGATCACTGTAAAAGATAGCTGACAAGGGTACAGTGGCGGTGTATAACTTATTAAGGGCGCTTTCAACAAGAGAACCGGTAGTCCTTTTGCAAGCTTATAAAAATTACATAAGGCCTATGCTTGAATACGGTACTGTGACATACAACCCCTATAAGCGCAAAAGTATTGATTATTTGGAGAAAGTTCAAAATAGGTTCACATGTAAGCTATTGATTGGAACTGTTGGATTTGTCTATGATCAGATTCCAAGTAGTAGAATCCGCAATAGGAACCTTGGATTAATGACACTGGCCTGCAGAAGGAAGAAATTTGATCTTATCATGGCCCATAAAATATTCTATGGAGACTGCGGACTGAATCGTGATTCGTATTTCACAACTAAGATATCAAAAACTAGGGGCGGTACAAGAAAGTTGATTATTCCAAGATCTAAGCTCAATGTACGAAGGAATTTCTTTATACGTAGAGTTTTGCCTGACGTAGATATACTTATACGTGAACGAGTGTTTGTTCCTAAGCTGGCTTCGTTTAAACGATTGTTGAAGAGCCATCAAAAAGTGAATTTTGTTAATTGTTTCGTTATGACGTTGTTTTGGTCTTTCGTTGCTTGTTTTATTGATCTTTATCTGTTTTCCGTAGGGTCTCCCCACGTACTAAAATAAAAAATAAATAAAATAAAATACATCAGTGGCGTACCGAGGGCCCCCCCCCCCCGAGAATGGGTCGCGAAATTTTTAAAAGTTACTCACATGAGTTATAAAAATGTGCAAGTGGCTTATTTACACTCGTAAATAATTAAACTAATTTTTAAAATTTTTAAAAATTTAATTTAGCTTTATAAAAAAATTTTTCCGGGTGCGTGGCTGACGCCAATCCCCTTTTTCTAAAATTTTGGGGCTATGGGCCCGCGAGAATTTTGAAAAGCCTACCAAAAATTTTTTCTGGGTGCGTGGCCAAGGCTGTGCCCTCCCCCCCCCCCCCCCCAGCGGAAATCCTGGGTACGCCACTGATGTACATACATCAAAAGTACATGAAACAAAATTCCCTACCACCTTCTCTCTTTTATAAAGTGTATGCCATAAAACTAGATTAAAAATAAATCAGAATTTAGTAGATGTTTCAGCAATTTTAGTGATCAATCATCGAAAAATCACTTCTTGGGTATTCCTCTTAATCACTTTATATCGTTATGCCCTCAGAGAGTTTTGACTCAAGCACTCTTAGAAAGCGCAAGATTTTCTCTCTCACTCTATTATGTTTTAAACCAGAAAATGTCATTGATTGGACGAAGTAACAGAATTTCAAAAATTTTGGTGCAAAAATTATTCATCGATCTAATTTAGTTTATAATATATGCTTCAAAAGCGCCAATCGAATTAAATATGACTTAGTCCCTGTGCTTTGTGTACCGTCCGCATGATGGTTTGGTACTATAGCAAGTTGCCCAGTATTGCGGTTGAAGCGGGGAAAGTTCTCACAAAGTTCTCAAATTTTGAATCTAAAATTGCTGAGTCGATACAAGAAGGGAATGTCGTCGAAATATAAGTGAAGAAATGGACCATTTCCAAGATCACCATTCAAAATAAATAGCTACATCTATAAGCTGAAAATTGCAGTTTCTCTAAAAGATAGAATGTCGAACTTTCATTGCGTGCACCAGATTTTCACTCTAGCTTCTTTAGATTTTGAATGAAATCGAGCTAAGTCAAATATTTCTCCAAGTTTAAGCAAAACAGTGAACTGATTCTGTGCATATAGATGTTGTAGAGGATGTTACGAAGTAAAATAACATTTATATATGACAAGAAACAAAAAATAGTTGGTGGTGTAAAGTTGACAAAATGGACCATGATGCAAGCCACAGTGATCAAGAATTCTGGTATGCCAATGATCGCATGATAAAGGGATATGTGAGATAACACGATTTGTGATTGACAGCCAACAGTTGTGACCGCGGAATTTTTTTAAGACGGGTGTGAGAAATTCTCTAAGAGAAGGGGCGTGGCTTCAAAGCTAGAGTTCACTAAGAAGCGAGAGCGTCCAAAGTTTTCGTAAACTTTGGACGCTCTCGCTTCTTAGTGAACTCTAGCCTTGAAATGTTCAAAAAAGGTAGCGCAGCAGTCACTGAATGTTCCACACCTAAATATTGAAAAATTTACAGCTTTTCATTCATTTTTGCCGCCGAAGAAAAGCAGCTGATCTTTTATTTGCAATTTGCTTTTATTTGCATTTCATCACAAATTGCACATGTTTTGTTTAAATTAAAGCTAGACTACTTAAGTCAAAGTTTGCATCAGTTCGCAAAGAGATCATTACGGTACTTTACTAAACTTACTTGAAAAAACTCATTTGATGTAATTTTTTGATTAGTGACTTTCCATTGCATGCCTACATTGATATTCAGATTGTGGACTAGAGCGCTCAGAGGCAAACACAAAATCGGAAGGGAGGGGGAGAACTTTTTTCGTAAGATGACCGTCAAATCCGGAAGTTTAAAACTATGAAGTTTTCAAGAATTTTAGCCCCGTCAGCCCCTGAAGGTAGCTCCGGAAATAAGTTTGTGCCTTTCTTAGGCTGCGCCAGAGTTGCCCGTGCCAGCGACGTGCTGGCGCCTTCCTCACGTCAATCAATCAATACGGACGTCTCGTGGCAATATTGATTGATTTCGGCGGTATCTCTAAGAGATAACACGGTGCCGACATGGTGCTAGCACGATGCTGTCACACTGGAGACTCTGAACGCAGCTTTTAGTCGCAGAACTTGAATACATGCTCTGCAGCGCTAGATGTTTAAAGCAGGGATTTTTTCAAAATCAAGAGCTTATCTATAATTCCTACAACCATTGCAAGCTTTTTTTACCATCCGTCTCTAGTTTTCATACATTTAATAATAAATAGTAAATTTCAATAATTCACATTTTCAACCTTGCTTAACAATTTGGAAAAGCTGGTTGGATCCAAAAAATCTTTGAATCTTGAAAATTGGCGGTTTCTTCAACAACTTACTTTGATTTCCAGATTTACTAGCAGGTGGCTGTGGCCGTTTCTGCTGCTCGTTTGTCCAGAACTGATACAGGGAAGCAATTTTTGACTTTGATTTTGGAGCCATTCTGGAATTTCGAATAATGATATTGGCGCGGATTGTTGAGCTTGAAGATGAAGATAAAGGAGGAGTAGAGGAATAGTCATGGGAAAGTTTGAAACGAAAAATTTAACGTTCAAATATGCGAATTTGGCTCCGCTGTCGTAATCACACACTTTGCACAGTTTACGTCAAACCGCATACGGCAGCTTGAAAAATTGAAGACTTTGAAACTTTCTAGTTTTTATTGCTAAATACAATTCCCTTTTGTACAGACGCTTTTTCCTTTTGATTGCAGCCATTCAATCCGTTTTTAGATGTCATCGGTAGTTAAACTGGAAGCCCTTTCCGGAGTCAAAGACGAAGGACCTCTTTGTTACTTGTTACAGGTAAGAAATTTAAAGTTTGGTTTTGTTTTGAAAATCTTGTTTGCTGTTTTCATCATTTTGTTAATTAGTGTCTTTTTCTTTTAGATTGAAGAAACGTTTTTATTGTTGGATTGCGGTTGGGATGACAAATTTGATATGGGTTACATAGAATCTATAAAATCGAGAGTACCACAGGTAAGACTATTTTTCTCATTGTTTTTTTTGAGTATTTCTCTTCAGATAAGTGCAGTGCTCATCACACACCCTGATCAGCCACATTTGGGAGCTTTACCCTACCTCGTGAAATATTGTGATCTCACCGCACCGGTTTATTGCACGGTAAGTTATCGTACGTTTGCTGTTTCCTGATTATTTATATTCTGTTTGCTTTTGTGTACCTACTTCCCTTATTTTTCATGTGCAGAGTTGGGAATAAACTTGAATTATTGTGTAACTCCATGCGAAAGTGCAAACGTTGGCTGATCTTTCTTATCCTCAGGTGCCCGTATACAAAATGGGTATGATGTTCATGTATGATTGGATAAACAGCTTAATGACTGTCGAGAACTTCGAGCTCTTCACTCTCGATGATGTAGATGTGGCATTCGATAGAATGCAGAAGCTGAAGTTCAATCAAACAGTCAGTCCTTTAGTTTTTCTTGATCCACTCCTAGCCGTATTGTTACCTTTGTCTTTTTGAATTTTTCTCACCTTGAAGGAACGTTTCCTTTAGTTTCATGCAAGTTTCACATGCTTTTTTCTTCGTGTTTGTGACGACTACTTTGTAACAGAAATTTATTCACCAGCCAGTTTCATACTGCAGTTGAACCTAATGCTTCTGATTTTGTTACAGGTTCCTTTGCGAGGCGATAGTCAAATCAAAATCACTGCTTTACCAGCAGGTCATATGATAGGAGGCGCTATGTGGAGGATAACGCGACATGATGAAGAAGACATCATATATGCTGTTGACTATAATCACAAAAAGGAACGTCATCTCAATGGATGTTCTTTTGATAGTGAGTCTTTTAATAGACCGGTAAGTAATCGGTCTTCACATAATTTGTTGTATTTTTAGCCATTCTAAGGCCGTACTTGCTGATCACCGACTCTCTGAATGCAATGTATACGCAGCCAAGGCGGAAAGAAAGGGATGAGCAGTTGGTGACAACCATTTTGAAGTGAGTATTGATCTCTTACCTGAGTGTAGAGTAAGCTTCACTTATTCGTACACGTCCCTATCAACTTCATCATAATGAAGTTGTCTTGCAGAACAGTCCGGCAAAATGGAGATTGTGTTATCGTAATTGACACCGCAGGACGTGTGTTAGAAATTGCGCATCTTCTTGACCAGCTGTGGGCGAAGTGGGTGTTCATTCTTGAGACTCCCTTTTTTGCATTTTCAACAATAGAAATCTTTTAGTACACAGTCTGGCCTCCAGAAATACAACTTGGTTATGATGAGCCATGTAGCTGCTTCGGTCGTAGAGTTTGCCAAGTCACAAGTGGAGTGGATGTCTGATAAAGTCCTGAAGTGAGTGAATACTTTTTTCAGATGTTCAGATGTCTTATCTTACACAATGCTTATCATTTCTGCTTAGGAGTTTCGAAACCGGCCACACTAATCCCTTTTTGCTGAAGAATGTAAAACTATGTCATTCACAGCTTGACTTGGCTAGAGTGCGTTCTCCGAAGGTATGATGACTTTTTTTCAATCTCGCGAGGCAATTGAATCGTAGTCGTTTGGCTTCTAGGTGGTTTTGAGCAGTGGATTGGACATGGAATGCGGATATTCGCGAGAACTGTTCCTTGACTGGTGTGGTGATAGCAGAAACTCCTTCATTATCACAGGTAAACTTCGATTTTTTTCATTCCTTCCTATTTTCATCTTTTGTGATTTGCATTTGTAGTTTTTTGTTCTCAAATTGTTATTCACCAAACCGATTACTAAGCTTTAGGCAGATCAAGTGAGCGAACACTATGTTCTAAGCTGATTTATATGGCTGAATGCTTGGCAAATAATTCGCGAACTAACAGAATCGTTGCGCTCGAGGTGAAGAAGAGGGTCCGATTGGAAGGCGCAGAACTTGAAGCCTACAAGAAGAAAAAGGCTCAAAAAGACAAAGAGGAAGCTAGACGAAGGTGCGAGACTCGCTCTACTCGACTTTAATGTTCCTTTATTCTTTCTGTTTCTAAGCTTTTTTTCTCGAACTAGTGATCCAGGTTGGAACAGCAGGAGAGACGCCAAGCTGAGCTTCGTGGTTACGATTCTGATGACGACGATGAAATGATTGCTAGCGCTTTGGCTGCTGTAGAAACATTGCGTACCAAGAAGACAAAAGAAGAAGAAGCGGCGGCTGCAGCAGCCAGGGGTGAAAAACCACCGAAGGCTGCCATTCCGATGGTGATAGATGTAGAACCAAAAGAGGAACCAGTTGAACACATGGAGACGAATGGAGATGCTGAAGCTTGCGGTAAGCATCATATTTTGCAATTTTGTAGTCAATGTCACTTTTCTTATAGTAATTCCTGGCCTGACTATGGCTACGCTAAAAGTGCGCGAGGAGGGCTTGAATGAGGCACCTGCTTTCATCCCAACAGGTCCAACATTTCCAACGAGGAAGCGGCGGCCAGTCAGGCATAATATTACCATGCAAGCTATGATGCGTTACAGGTATGGTGATTAGTCTTACCCTTGTTATAGTTGTTGTCTTCTACCTTTGTCTTTCCATCGTTCAACTATGCTTATTAGCTTATTCTGTTCTTTTTTTATAAACTTAGAATATTTTAGGGTACCCTTCTTCAAGAGGTTCATGCCAATTATGCTTCCAATGTATCCGTTATTGGAGGAAAAAGTCAAGGTGTGTGGCTATAAGTATTTGTGGTATTAGCACTAAAATCAACTTGTTTTAGTGGGATGTCTATGGAGAAAAGTATCGCCCCGAAGATTATACCGTCTCTAAGCTACGAGTACACCTTCCAGTACCTCAAGAGATTATCAAAGAAGCGGACGACCCTACCGCTAACATGGCTGTACCCTTGGTAGATGATGCGCCAACTAAATGCATCACTGTGATAGAGAAAATCGAGGTTTGCTCGAAGAACTAGCCCTACATAATCTGACAAAAAATGTTGTTTCTAGGTTTCCTGTAATGTGGAATACATAGAATTCGAAGGAAGATCCGATGGAGAGTCAGTGAAGAAACTAATTGCACAAATAAAGCCTAAACAGTTGATATTGGTCCACGGCTCAGCGCAAGCCACTAGACATCTTGCTCAGCACTGCTATGACAATAATATCGCACAGGTCCGTTTTTTTTTTGATTTACCATGTTCTTGTAACCCATTCGGTAGCTTTGACTTCTTCATATAACACTTTTAACAAGTGACTATTTTGCAGGGTCACATTTTTGCGCCCTCAGTTGGTGAGACTGTAGACGCCACGGTAGCTTCCCACATCTACCGAATACTTTTGAATGACGAGCTGTTCGAAAGCTTAGAGTTCATCAAGGTAAGCAAACCCTTTCATTGGTTTAGGGAATCACAAAATCTTTTGTTTTTTAGGTAAAGGACGCTGATTTGGCTTGGATAGATGCCCAAATCACTGCGCGTCCTTCTGAAGTTGGGGTTGAACCAGAAAATGGCATGGAGGTAAGTCTTCTTACACCGCGCTTTCAATCGCTTGATGACTTCATCATCAATGTTTTGTAGACTGAAGAGAAATCAACAGATGCTCATCTTTTGGCCGAGCAACACATAGACAAATGCATGTTGAGTGCTCTTAGTGGTGAAGCACCTTTCCGAGATGTGAGTTTTTTTTTGGTTTATTTTTCGGATTTCTTTGATTTTTGTCGCTGTGGTTGAAATTTGTTGTTTTTTAGGTTGTTTATGTGAATGATCCAAAGTTATCCGAAATGAAGCAGTTCTTGCTCAATATGGGCTTCTCAGCAGAATTTTCTTCAGGAGTTTTGTATATAGGAGGTATGAGTCTATTGATAACTTATTTCTGATTTTTATGGATTACATCAGCTAGTCCATTAGTCACTTCTGCCATTACTTGATCATTTTGTGATGAAAAAGTAGCTGAGTATGGTAGAAATCTCGGAAGTTACAGTAGTCTAGTAAATATATTTTTTCCTCTACACTCAATCGCCCCAGAATCTTTCAGGTGTGATCTCAATCCGTCGTAATGAAGCTGGAAGATTCCACATCGAAGGTTGCGTTGGACCTTTATATCTCAAGTTGCGTGATATCATTTTGGAACAGTTCATGGTACTTTAAAATTCATTGAATGTTTGTAAATATTTCCTTAGTCGTAGTCAAATGTTTCCGATTGTTATTGTTGTTACTGTAACTGTGTTGCTGTTCGTGCAAGATGGGTATGTGTTTCTTGAGGTTCTTGTAAGAATCTTTATTTACATATTTTGAGGTTATACGTAAATGTACAGAAAATATAGAATTGATACAAATTTGGCAGTAACAGGCATATAATTTGATGAACATGGTATACATATGGAATCAGAAGTAGCAGATCAGTTGGTTAGCGAATAAACAGCTAAGACGTGTACTTAATTTCTATGTTTCGTTGAATCGAAGTGTCTACATTTGGAGGAAATGAAGCATCTAAATTTTGTTGAATCGGAGCATCGAAATTTTGTTGATTCGGAGCATCGAAATTTTGTTGAATCGGAGCATCGAAATTTTGTTGATTCGAAGTACCCAAATTTGGATTATTAATGTGTTTCTTCCAGTCACTATCCATTGAACGTTTGTTCGTTGCTTCTTCCCAATCTGGCCAGTATCTCGCCTTCATTCGCTCAACGAAGGCAACCTAAAAATTTATTACTGAAATTAAGTAATTTTCTCATTAAAATGCTGAACCTACCAAATTCTGACAGTGTTCCTGAATGTACGTTCTCAATTCCGGTGAAGCGGGAAGCGGTGTGTATAAAAATTGCGCTAAGTGTGCGAATATCTCGCAGTCGAGCTGAAATTGATTTTATTCCAAAGTTGACCTGGTAGAGGCGATCCGTAACGAAGTGGGTCGGTTTGCGAGGCGGATGCGAACGCGGCTAACGCACGCACCCGCTCCGCTTTCACGTACAACCGCCTTTGTCTGGGACTAAGCCTTTGGTTAATATTTTACCGTCACTGGTTGATCCCCAAAGAAATACTGTTTATTGCCCAGAAACTGGCTCAACGCATCAAGGTCCTTTTTAGCAAGTATTGTAACTTCTTCTGGAGAGTTTCGACCCATTCCTTGGAATTTTGCTTGCGCTTGCAGCTGCAAGCGTTATGTTGATTTGTGAATTGTTTTACCAGATTTTTCGCACTTACTTTTCTCCGTATCATTTCACAGACGAAATTTTTGAATGCCATTTTCTTGAAGCCTTCAAAGTGAGGTAAAAATCCCATGTTGCTAGCGAACCATTTATTATCTCGACTTCGCAGCTCAATCAGTACCCTGAAAGATTGGAAAGTACTGTGCTCGCTGACATTCCGCACGGCTCTTGCGAAGCGGCCGCGTCCCACGTTGAGCTCTTCCACCTGACTGGAACGAACTATGCTTACCATCGCAGGCTGTCTTCAATCAGTGCATGATATGCTCTTGCATTAGCTTTTTCTTCTGGACTTAGACGGTCATCAATGTCCTTCTGTAAAATGGAGAAATTACTAGAATGTACAGCTGCTGAGCCGGCGAAAAAAATGTTTTGCTGCGTTAGCTCTTTACTTTTTTGAAATTGATTTTTCGTTAAATTGTTGGCTTCGAGAAATGTCATTTTATGGCGTTATGTGCAGAAAAATATCGTCGAGTCACTTGTAACTTGATGCTCATTTTATTTTTAGTTTTTTCAAATTAATATGCGTACTCCACACCATAGTTGGGATAGGGGGAGTGATGGATCTTACCCCCTTCACTTTGAGGCCAAACTCCCGATGACCCCCTTCACCTGGGCTGAGATTGGTATTGTACTCTGAGAATATGATAAAAATCGTATTAAAAGGTTTTGCAGGCTAAGTACCTCAAGCAACAAGTACACTCATAAATTTAAAAAAGAAACGGTACGGTATTTATGTTTATTTATATTATTTATTTATCCTCGTAGCGTTTATATGGAGAGCAGAAAGTGTGGACACAAAATCAGTTAATTTTAAGCACATAAAATCCCTCATATCTCGCGGCACAGAAGACCCAGAAAAAGTCGACAGTCCACATCGATTCTCCATGATCTCAGCTTTCGAATGGTATACAGCATGTCAGGGCTTCTTTGCTTCCCGGCTCTAAAAATCATTTGCTCCGGTAACCCATAAAAGCCAACAATTGTATAGGTCGTCCCGAAAGTTTTTGCGCACGCTTTTCAAAAATTCATAACTTTGATTTTTCCAATCGATTCGACTGCTTCTATTTTCGTATGAAATAGTAAGTCATGTTTTTTATAATGACATCTTATCTGCTTACTAATGGTCATCTATTGCATAGACAAGAGCGATAGAAGAATATTGGTCAAAATTTGAATTTTTCGTGTAAGGGTCGTAAAAAATCGGAAACTTGCAACAAAATCGGAGCATTCGGGATTGTAGGTTCTTTCACCAGCTCTTCCCAACAGTGCAAAGTTTGCGCTGATTGAGGGTCTCTATGAAAAGTTATGATTTTCGAGCAAGCAATACAAAAGGGCGAATTTGCTTTATTTTGACATTTTTCAGGGAAATCATAATTTTCCATAGAGACGCTCAATCGGCGCAAACTTTGCACTGTTAGAGAGAGCTGGTGAAAGAACCTACAATATCGACTGCTCCGATTTTTGTTGCAAGTCTCCGATATTTTATGACTCTACACAGAAAATTCAAATTTTGACCAATTTTCTTCTTTCGCTCCTATCTATGCAACAGATGATCATTACTAAGCACTGAGATGTCACTATAAAGACTATAAAGAGCATGACTTACCCTATGAATCAAAAACCTTAAGGCATTCAAGAATAACATGTTATTAAAATATCCCTCAATGTTTTGGAAAGGTTGGCAGTTTGAAGAGGAAACGGCAGGCAGAATACTTTACAAAATCGCAGATGACTCGCATGTGTTCCAGTTCAACAGCGAGGCAGAAGGAGAATCTTACGCCGACGCAAATATTGGCGACATTGATACAGAGTTGACAATTGAGCGAAACTCTCTGATTCCCTACATAAGGAATCCAAGCAGATTGCCTAGTTTCAATGAGGAAATGTCCGGGAAGTCCATTGCTGATTTTCAGGTTGCTGAAGATTTCAAAGCTGCTAAATTCACAAACATGGATATGGACAAAAGGAAGGTGTCATTACAAAGCATAGCTACTGCTCTTAGATCCCGACAAAGGTGCGAACCCAACTCTGTGCTTTATGCTTTTGGAAGTTATTCGCCTTGTGACATTATGACCTATGATATTGGAAAAAAAACCAACGTGCAGCATAGTATCTACTTTTTTCGGCTATTCCGCAGATGCTGTTAAAGAAGAAGTTGAGCAGCTTTCTCATCAGTTAACAGACGTATGCCAGAGGAGGTGGAGCCAAAGTTTGACAAGGCCCAAAAAAGTTTGCAATATTTCATGTTGCGGAAGCATATGCGATCTCGCTCTTTCCCCATTATTTACCGCAAAAATCTGATGGACTTACTAGCAAAGCTAGTTTCCATTCCGCTAGCACGGCCGAGGTGGAGAAAGAAATTTTCCATCTATTCTGTTATCGGAACACAATGCAGAAGTCGTACAACGATGGAGCATCTAAGCAACTACTTAGGGTTTGTCAACCTTCTACTGAACATATTGTTATTTGAAAACTTCATTTAAAGGATTGGTATAAGTGGTTCAGACAGGCTGTTACCGTATGACTTTATGAAATATCCTAAAAGATGGTATGAAGAAACTGGTCACCTACCTGCTGACTTTCCTGGTGCTACCAGAGGGCCAAGAAAATCACAAAAGCGCTCAGAAAAAGAAGAAAGTTTCAAATCCATTTTCGACTCAGAACGCTTTTGCACGCAATTCTACATCTACTCCGATGACCTTTTGAAGGAAGAAGAAGATTTTTCAGGCAGCGAACTTGCTGTCTCTGACGTTAGCGATAGTAATGTTGATGATGATGTGCAGAAATGGAAGTTGTTCCTAACTTGTACATCTTTTGGGATAAACCTAGCAATAAGTTATCAACAAACTTTCGCTTTTTGTTGATGCAATGAAACAGGAGCACAGATCTCCATAAAGTCAATTTTTTTCAAAAAATCTAATTTCTTTCAAAGTTTTTAAAAAAATTTTGTGCCTAAATAAGGTGCAAATTAGAGCTCTTCATACCACGCTTTTTTACCTTTTTTCTCTTCTTCCCCCCCCCCTAGACTCACATACCCCCTTCACCCTGAAAGGTCGGGAACAGCCGAGACCCCCTTCACCTGAGGAGAGCCCGGCTCCCCCTATCGCACCTATGCTCCACACCTTGCACGCTACTTGACGGCGCCGTAAAATTAGAACCTGCTCATTTTCAATGGTTTTTCCTTGTTTGCTGGTCTCTTTTGATTCATTTGGGTATGTATAAGTTAGGGTGCACATTTTGCAATTTGTTACGCTGAGAAAAGATTTTATGAGGAGTTAATAGTAAGGGCGTCATCTGTTGCAGCGCATAGTGTGCAGACTCAGTATGGACAAATGACTCGACGCTAGTAAGTTTACAGTGACGTACCTTATGTAATTCCTCAATCAGATGATCAATAATGAAGTTGCTATCGGCAATTTCTCGGCCATTCACTTCAATAAATGGTATTTGGCCTTTGTCGGAAAACTTTGAGAAGTTATTGCTGATGTTCTGAATAACATAGTCAATTTCAAAACCATATTTGAAATGAACCAAAAATATCTCGGCTCACCGTATATGGTATATTAGCCATCCTAAGCCATGTTTCCACTTTGAGCGCGAACGGCGACGGCGATGGGATGCACCCAGCGCGGGGAAATTGCACCAAGTAAACGTGGTCCTTGACCCAGTCACGTTTTATTAATCTAGTCCCTGGCATTCAACTGGAAAAAAGGTAATATGGAAGGAGAGACGGTCGAGAGAGGCTTTGAGACGGTGAACGGTACAAAAAACAGTTCAAATTGATAAAATGACAGAAGGCAAATTTGAGGAGACTTCATTGATTTTGAAAAATATTAGTTCAAAAGCTGAAGCCTAGTCTCATATTGATGGGTCTCTATAAGTGAGTAAGTAGATCGGGGACCGGTATTTTGAGACGTGAATGGGTATTTGCGCAAAATTACTCTTGCATGACTGACTACGCTCTAGTATTCTCGCTTTCACTAGCTAAAGGGAAGTAGGGTTAGAAATTCATCGCCAGTGTTTTGCTTGAAGGGTCTACCGTCATTGTTTTGTTATCCTAGACCCCACCATTTATCGATTTGTAAGAAGCCAGTGATGTACTTTTCAGTGGTAAACAATCAATTCACGTTGGAGTGTACTAGTCTAGTTGACTTAGCTGTAAACACATGTCAAATAGTAAGTCTGTACCTGATGGAAGCATGGTTAAATTGAGCTCATTAGTGAACGGATTCCCTAGAGAAATTAAAGTGAGCTACGATTGCAGCGATAGCGAACTTTCTTGGGGAGGGGGTTATAATGGTGTTTTACTGCAGCCCCAGGCTTGAAATTTTGGAGGAGGTACGAAATTTTCTGCAGGGTGCAGGATTCAAGCACTGCATTGAGTACAAGGACATAAGTGATAAGTAGCGAAAACACGTAGATTTTTTTAGAGATAGTTCCCCGTGTAGGAAACCCCAGATTGAAGAACCCAGCTTGATTGTGTCCCCACAGAGAATTACTGTTTTTTTTTGAGATTCAATCTCGCTTGCGTCAAAAATACATAAGTTGCAGTAAAGAATTTTACCTAAACTGCAAAATCCAACAATTCTCGAATCTCTCAGGGTAACCGTGAGATTATGTGAAAAATTCTCCAACTTGAGAATTGGTAGGACAAGTTTCGGAGTTACCTCGAACGTTGGCCAGCGGACTGTTCTAAAAAGGATCGCCAAAACTTCGGAGTTACACACGAACTTGACCAGCTCCAGTTTAGCTCTCACTTGTATGATATTTATTTCTAAGGCTTTATATTCAGAAAAAATTCATGAGCACGACAAGCAGAGGATACTTTGATGCAGATTCTGGTCCAGCCCTTTAGAAATATATTCGGAACGCTCTGTCAAGTCTAGGGGTGTACGGGCCCTAGCTTGATGTGTAGCGGTACAGGTTGGTACTATATATATTTATTATCTACATATATTACAATAGAGGGGAAGGGGGAAGACTGACTAAGCAGCCTTACGGGGCGCGGTCGTAGACGGTCACTGGCTTCTATCTGACCTTCTCGGCCAGCTCACGGGAGAGCAGCAGGCGGAGCTTAGCTGCGTCCCGACATCTCCATTCCTTTAGAAAGCTCGTCCTCGAGCTTGTTCGGCTGTTGTTGAACGTCTTCCGAGTTACGTGTGTAAGGAGTACACGTGTTACGGCGAGACCATAGAGAACTTCGATTTCGGTACATTATCTTCAGACTGATTGAGTGGAGGAGTTGGTTTAGGCGGATTGGATAACCAAACAGCGACCTTCACCTCATCCTAGGGGTACAGAGTGAGCTTGTCCTCAAGCGGAGAGATATACGGAATGAACGATGTGACGTAGGGGACTGCTTGGAAGAGGCAGTAACATGAGTTGTAGGAAGTGAACAGGCGTATTATAGCCCGGAAATTGAAAAAGGGGAATAGTTGGCGTGGAGATGTATAGGAGTATATTGTGACCGATATTTAAATGTTGATACAAGTTATGGGTTGGAAGGGCACTGTTGTAGAACATTTAAAAAAAATAGCGTGGTGAGCGGAAATTACATAGTTAACAAAGTATTGGGCGATATTGGATGACATTGGTAATTCTGAAGTTATAGTTTACATAAAATAGTCAAACTACATGCGGAATTTTAGGACGTGTGATATAATAAGGCATTGCATAATTTAAACTGAGTGACCTATGGTTATACATGATATAAATAATGCAATTGTTTAGAAAACGGAGAGGAAGATTCAGATGCAGAATTGAGCACAACAAACTGTGCTTAATTCAACATAGTGGCAAATTTTGAGTGTTAGAGAAATGGGAATTTTTTTCGCTGCCTAGTACAAAATATTTTTTTTCATTCTTTGAACTGCCGGTTCAAAGAAATTTATGCTTATAGATAATCGCAGCGGTGCGGCAAAATAGGTGTAAACAAACTCACGTTGAGAAATATCCCGACGGCAGAAAAAAAATTAAAACTCTGATAGTCGGATTTTTTTTCAAACTGAGTTGCATAAAATTGTCTTGCAGTCTTGCGACCAAATTCAAGACTACATTCGTGAACAAAACAAACATGATGTCGTTCATGTTCTAATGTTTCCTTTTTTTATTGTTTTTGATAATTTTGAAATAGTGCGTTTTTGGAAGCATTAGCCCATTTTCGACATAGACAACGTGAAAATGCAAACCAAATTATACAAAATGAATTAGCAGTACATTTTGGTATAGTAAAGTATAAGAATAGAACGTTTCCACTGCCGAAACTACGATATGTAACTTTTGAGTCATAAGTAAAATTCAGCGGAAATGATCCTAACATCATGTGTGGTGATTCACGACTAATTTGCAATTCATGAAAGCTATCTATGTTTCTTCAAGTCCAGATCCAGTATAGAAAACTCTATGGAATATTGTTCCTGAATTCTGCTGAAATCTATAAAGGAATCATTACCATCGTTTTCTAGAAAAAAACAGGACTGGGTGACGTAAAACGTACGAAACATGTTTTTTTTTCATTGCAAAGAATGAATTTCGGTGCGACAAAAAACTATGCCTTCACTGCTTATTGTGGCTTCTGCTGATCATCTTTCAAAAAAAAATGCGATCATTGCTTTCAATCAGAATATCCATCTGGATATCTCAACATGTTTAGAAGCACTGAGGATTTTTTTTGACAAAAAGCAAGTTTTTTTTTTGTAAAGAGTTTCGGTTAAAAGAGAGAATTGTTCTCTGAAAACAATCTCCATTCAACTACAAGTAATATTCTCTGAAAATATTCTTAAATGTAGTTCTGAAATGCTACGTTCAACAACGTAATGCAGACTTGGTTTGTGCAATTGCACAAAACTGGAGGAACTGCTATATTCCAATGTTCTTAGCAATAGTGTGTCCACTGTTTTTGAATCTGAATACTTTTTGCGCATATTTTGGTAAAACCTCGGAGAACATAAAGAGGTCTCATCTAATATCTGAACGTGTATCTTATATGTACGGAAAAAGTTATTGAGGACAAACTTCAATCACACTGAGGAAAATTTGTCTCAACTAAATTGAGAAAATTTGAAAATCTCAAAAAAGAAGAATATTCACGTCTGAACATCTCTTTTTTTTTCATTGCCTCAGTGCGTGAGAATCAGAATTTTAGATATTTTAGGTTGTGCAGTTCTGTTCATCTGTTCTAATGAAAACTTATAAGCTTCCTGTAGAATTTAGACGTCTAGAAAGAAAGCTTGGCCGGCTTTGATTTCTGTCGGTGAATTCAGCGGATGCGAAAATTTCATTAGCAATTTCATTTTTTTTTCCATTGTGCTGGGTCCAGTCTAGTGGCAAAGCTCAAATAGTCGTTTAATTTGTGAAGAGAAATTGCGAATCTATCATATCGTACAGGAAGGCAGCGTTGTTCGGTATGAGGAACAGAGTTTGATTGAAAATTTGAGGGTGAAAGCTTTGAAAACAAGTTACTCTGATACATGTCGTTTTTTTTATTCTAGCCAGACTTTTTTCTTCAAATCATCTAAGCTTTGATTTGCACAAAAAATATGCGATTTTGCATTCAAAACTGGTTCTCCTTATTCGCGAAATTAGCTTGATCATTAAAATGATTGCGTTATGGTAGCTTTTAAATCTACAAAAGTGTTGATTCTGTTTTTCCTTCGAAAAGAAAAAATTTGCTTTTGTGTCAAGTGAAATCAACTGTGACCTTTTGTAGAAAAAAACAATTTAGCAATGGTTTCAATTGTCAAATCAACCTCTAAAAAAATTTTTTCAATCTTCGGAAAGCGTAAAAAGTTGACTCGGTGTTCTGTCCTCTTAAAAAGGTTTTCTATATCTTAAAAACAAAGTATTCCTTAGAGCTTTAATGCTCTGGGAAAAGAAGAGGATGCTTTGACGCATGATAAACCCCGAATGTGATGAGAAATTTGAAAATTTTCATGATTTTTGGAAAAGTTTTGATTTCAAGTTGAGATTCAAGATTGGTACTGTCAAAAACTGCATTAGATATTTGATACACATAAAACCGACGAGGTTCTTTTCGATCAAGATCATTTCTGTGATTGGTGAGAGTTTTGAAAAGAAAATTGAAAAAGAATTAAATCTTTTTTTTTTGAAATGCAGTTTGATTTGATGTTTTCGTAGGTCTATTGAACTGAGAGCTGAGAGAATGCTTGCTATATCATTCCAAAAGTGGATGTGTAATCATAATGGCCGCATAAGCGCTTCTATTGATTTCTTCTTATTTTGGGGTTCTGAGGTAAATTCTACAATATGCTGACGGTTTTCTTTTCAAAAAAAAATTTTCAAATACATTTGAACAGACTAAAATTGATACCAGGACGCATTTTGTCAGAGTATCTCAAATGTAGAAAGCGGTTTAATATAGTTGAAGCGGTGTTTTTCTTATAGCAAGAAATTCTTTTGACATAAGCAAGCTCTGATACGGACAAGATTCTGTTCAAAAATGGGAAAAAATTCCTAGCAATAAGACCATTGGAAACTATGGATGAAAAGTCCAATTGTTCTTTTCCAGAAGTTCTGAAGAGTTTTCAGCTTAAGCAGGAAAATCTATCTCATTGTCAGCGAGAATTTTCTCTGAATCTGTACTTCATGTTTAATACAAGTATGAAATCAAATCAAATTTTTCTCTAAATCTAGATTAAGAAGAAAGCAAGTGTTTCTGAAAATCTGTTTAAAATAACGAGGAGA